TCCCGCCCCCCCGCATCCCCCCCCCCCTCCCCTGCCCCCCGCCCCCCGCGCCCCCCCCCCCCCCGGGCAGCCAGGCCTCTCCCTCCCGGCCCTCCTCACACTTCTACTCACATGGCTGCCTGAGGGGTTCGTGTTGGCACGGGCAGGCTGCGCCTCCACAATGGTGAGCTTCTTTCCCACAGTGCCCTGGCAGGAGCACCGGATACATAGGCACATGTGTAATGGGAAAGATATTTATTTATTGAGCACTTGCTTGTAGCCACTGGGAGTCAAGTCCTCCTGCTCCCTACCCCTAGCACCGCTGTCTCCCCCAGGCTTCAGAAGTCTTTGAGAGCACAGCTGCTAACTGGGATCCTGCTCATCCTCACATTGAACCCTCAGCAGGCACGAGAAAGGGCGGGGCAAGGTCAGGATTTGAACCCAGAACTGACACCCTTGTGTGCAACCTTGGTGGGCACCCCTGTGCGTTCTGGGAGAAGGAAGGTGTGGCCTTCTCCTGGAGGCTGAGACTTTGGGGGAGAAGAAGAAGGGGGCTCACCTTCCTCCAGTCCATGATGTCCTTCAGTTTCCGGAAGAGAAAGATGCCCTTCCCCTGAGATCGGGCGACCTGAGGGTCGGGGTGGGGGAGATGAGTTGGGGATGAAAAAAGGAAGAGCCTGGCTCAGAGTCCTTCCCTGGCCCCTATTCCCAGGGCCTTCACCAGCTCATCTCTGTGTCCATCTCCCTGTGGGCTCTTGTCGCTGCCCAGAGGAAGGGCTTTTCAAACCCGTGGGGCTGGAGGAGGAAAAGGAACTGGGCTTTGCTGCAAAGACATACATTTGCATGAATAATGCAGAAAGACAGACAATTAAAAAACCATCTCGGCCAGTCCTGGAACATATCATCCAATGCTTTTTTTGGAAATCAATTTGCCTTCCTAATTAGGTTTTGCTTCAGCTAATACTGGAATCATTCTGCCTTTACTGCACCACACCACAGGTAATTCATGGCCTCCCAGAGGCGAGGGGGCTGGGGGAGAGTCCTTGGTATCTGGTCGTGTTCCTGCATTCTGAGAAGTTCAACCTGCCTGGGCTTGCATAGGAACATGGCCAGTGTGCCCACTACCCTCTCCACACCCCACAGTTCATTGGTACTGCAGGGTAGTTTTGTTAAGCAATCATTAAACGGTATGTTGGCATGTGTGCCTGTGAGTGCACACATGCGTGCAAAGTGAGTGGTGTGTGTGTGTGTGTGTGTGTGTGTGTGTGTGTGTGTGTGTGTGTGTGTGTGTGTTGCTGAGGATCAAACCCAGGATCTGGCTTTTGCTAAGCAAGCACTGTACCGCTGAGCTACAGGCCATCCCCAGGGATTAAGCTGTATCTATCACTTAGATGCCTGATGGTTCCCAGCAGAACCTGTACAGAGCTTTGACCTGCTATCTGGCCTGGCTTCTACGGCCTGTGAGACCAACTCTGGCTTCTGATGCCAGCTCAGTCCTTTAGCTATCTGAGCTCCTGAGTAGGACCCCCCTGAGGCATCTTTCTCTGGCATGAATGCACCCAGTGGGTGCAAAGCCTCCTTCCCTCTGTTTTCAGAGCAGTGGCCCGCCAGGCCCGCCAGGCCCGCCATGCCCACCCAGGCTTCAGAAGGCCTGACAGCAGGTGGTTTGCTCACATCTGGACAGAGCTGGAAGCAGAGAAAGGAAAATGCCTCTTCCTTCCTCCCCTTTCATTCAGTCAATTAAACCTCTGTGGAAACACCCCCCAGACACCCCTAAGGATATGCCTCATTAATTTTGTAGGTGTTTATTAATCCAATCAAGCTGACAACGTGCTATCATCACAAGTCTCAGCTTTGCCAACTTGACACACAAACACATCACTTTAAACCACAGTATTCTGCCCTGGCCCCATAGGGCCGTGGCCATCCCAGTGTGAAATGCATTCATTCTGACTTCAAAAGCCTCCCCACTGTCCTAACAGTTTCAATACTGTTCAAAACTCCTAAATCTAGTCCAGGCATGGTGGCTCACATTTTTAACCCCAACACACAGGAGGAAGAGGCAGGTGGATCTCTGTGAGTTCAAGGCCAGCCTAATATACATAGTGCGCTCCAGGACAGCCAGAGATAGTGAGACCCTCCCTGCTCTTTACAAACCATGTAGGACAGCTCTCAGGAGGTTCAATGACAGCCTCAGCACCTCCATTCAGACTCAGCAGATCAAAACAATGCCTTAGAGTGGGGGACATCTGGGGTTATCCACAGTATCACAACCTGGGCTTAGAGCAGCTTCACGGACACACAGACTGATGGACAGGCACAGTCCTGACCCACACACGTGCTGCCTTGTACCCTGAGCATGACTAGAAGAGCTGCAGTGGTCCTGGGGTCTGGACCTGGCCCAGGACCTCTGTCCCAGCAGAGCAGTTTGGATGCAAGGACAGGAAGGGGAAAAGTTGGAAGTGTGTGATTTCTTTTATACTACACAGAACTTAAATTCTGTTTTTGTTTTACCTTTTTCAGGGTCTCAGGAAGGCTAGGTAAACACTTTACCCCTGAGCATTGTCCTCAGCCCTTAGACTGGACTTTTCATGGCCAAACCCAAAGACCTATTTATTTGTTTGCTTGATCTTTTTTTTAGTTTTTATTTGTGTGTGCACATTTATATGTGTTGGGGCACACACAGGTGTGTGGTTAATGTACCGGTTATGTGCACATGTGTGTAGAAGCCAGAGGTCAACCTCAGTTGTCATTCTTCAGAAACTGTTCACCTTAGCTCTTCATTTTGAGATAGGGTCTCTCTGTATAGCTCTGATTGTCCTAGAACTATGAAGACTATGCTAGCTTCAAAGTCACAGCAATCCAGCTAGCTCTGCCTCCTAACTGCTGGGATTAAAGGCACGGTACCCTGTAGTAAGAGATCCAACTATGCACCTGTAGCGCTAACCATGCCATTTGGTCGTGGTCACAGGTGCATATGTGAGGTGTGGGATTTGGTCTGGGGTCCAGGACAGGCTTGCTCTCTCTTGGTTCCAGTCGGGTCATAGAGAGCAGCTGGGCATTAATCCTCGGAGCTGGAACTTGGGGGTTATCGGTTTCTCATGTAAGTGACTTCTCCCCAAATAAAATTAACCTTTATTATCCTAGTGCCGTGTATCTTAATCTGTACATCCACAGTGCCCAGCATATTCACTTTGACAGGAGTTTTCATTGGGATTTGGGGCTCAGCAATTCAGCCAGACTGGCTGGCCAGTGAGCCCCAGGGATCCTTCATCTCTAACAACTCAGTATTGTTGGCACAGGCCTCCACATCTGGTGTTCTCACAAGTGCCAAGGCTAAACCACAGCCCTTGCTCTGTAGCCAAGGATGACCCTGAATTTCTGATCCTCTTGCCTCTACCTCCCAAGTGCTGAGATTACAAGCATGCACTATTGTGCCCAGGGGCTGAAGGCCTATTCTTATTATCCCTAAGAGAGTAAAGCTGAGAGATGGATGGTCCTAGGGCCCCAAGAGTCTGCAGAGTGGTACTGTGGTGGGGTGGGGCATTGCCAAAGCCCCTTATATTTTCTGTGCCTAAGAGGCTGCCCAAGAAGAGGGTGAGGGAACAGCAGCAGGGCATAGCCTTCTGTAGGGATTGGCTGATGAAGGTGTAGCCGCTTCACACAGGGGCCTGGAGGGGGATGGACTTGGGGAAGTAGTGCAAAGGAAAGCACGCTAGTCCACAATGTCCCCCAGGAAGGTGGCTCCCAGAGTCCTGAACGGGCTGCTGCGGCAATCTGGTGGAGGCAGAGGATGAGCAGAGAGCTACAGGCAGCCCCAGCTGCATCAGGCGGGATTTTCTGCTAATTGGGAACCAGCAATTGCTTATTAAGTCGCTTCCTTTCCCAGCCCACTGCCTTTGTTAGTGGCAATACCATGACAGCAGTGGGTAGTGCTGGGCGTGTGTCCCCTAGCTGAGGCACACTGGCTGGGGAATGAGAACAGGTGCTGCTTCCACTCAGCTGAGCCTGGGGTTTGTTTTCTGAGCTAGGGTCTTACTGGATTGCCCAAGCTGTCCCGGAACTCACAGTGCAGCTTGGGTTGGCCTTAAACTCATAACATTCCTCCTGCCTTGCCTCGTACCTCTGCCACCTGAGAGCTGTGTGACCCTGAGCTAAGGCCCACTGGGCCACCTACTGCTTCACATATAAACTGTGCTGACCCAAGACTGTCACAGGCTTGGTTTCCCTGAAGCTGCACGTTAGACACATAGCACATGGGTTAGATGAAAGGCTGGGAATCAGAGGCACAACCATGGACAGTTGCTCTCATCATTTCCAAGAGTCCAGGAAGTTTCTTCCCTCTCCCCCCACCCCCCGCCTGCCCCAGGAAGGTCTGGTCAGTTTCACAAACCTGTGTGGCTGGGTGCAGTGCTGCCCACCTTCAATCCCAGCCCTCGGGAGGTATCGGCAAAGGATCTCTATGAGTTTGAGGGAGCCTGGTCTACATAGCAAGTTCTAGGACAACCAGGACAAAATAAACAAATTTGTGCACACACCTTACCCAGGAGCAGGTTCAAAGGTAGTCGCTGGGCAGATGGGGTGAGCCTGAGCGCTCTAGTCTAATTCATGTGGGGGAGCATCCTTGCTCTTGCTGATGGTCTTAGGTGGCTTTGAGTGGCAAAATTGGAAGGCAGAGCCTGGGGAGATGGTTCAACAATTAAGAACACTCACTGCTCTTCCAGATGACCCAGGTTCAATTCCCAGCACCCACATGGCAGCTCACATCTGTCTGTAACTCCAGGATCCTATGCCCTCTTCTGGCTCTTTGGGCATTGCACACAAGTGGTGCATAGACACACATGCAAGCAAAACACACATGTAGGAGACAGTAAGCCACGCCTGTTAGAAGCTGGCTATAGGTGTGCCTGACCACGCCTGTCAGGGCATGGTCAAGGTGAGGTCAGAATGACGCATAATAGGTTTTTAAGGGGCTGCAAGGCACATGGGAGAGCCTTCTCTCTGGCTTGCCTGCCTTGCTGTCCCTGGCATGCTCTGGCTTGCATTTGGCTGATGTTTATCTGAATAAAGATATCTTAACCTTACAGACTATGGATCGGCTCTCGGCTCTCATTATACACACATAAGATAAAAAATAAATCTACATTTTTTTTAAAATAAAAGAGTCTAAGGCAGTGGTTGCCAAACACACTGCAGCTGGCAACTCTGCAGGAAAGCCAGGTACAGGACTCCCCAAGTGTCTGGTTCAGAAGGCCTGAGGGGCCTGCAAAGGCGCTTTTCTGCCAGGGTTCTCTACTGGAGCAGAAGCCTTGGGTGTGGGTGTGGAGGGAATGCTCCATGCCAGGCTCCCCTGCCTGTGAGCTCAGGCAAGACACCTACAGCATAGCTCTGGGACAGAGTTGCTTATTTTTCATGGAACTTCGCAGGGACAGAAAGGATTCATTCCTGGGACCCCAAATGCCACCCCCTCACCCCGACTCTCTGTGCAGAGGCACTCACGGGCTTCATGATCCAGGTGATTCCGGGGTTCTTTCGGAACTCCTCCACAAACAGATGGTACTCACAGGGCATCTCAAAGGTTTTGGGGAAGAAGTCACACTTGGCTGCCTCTACCTTCCCGGCTTCGCGCTCCAGCATCTTCCGGAAACGCTTGAGATTCTTTACCATGTAGTTCTTTCTGGTAAGCTGGGCAGCAGGGGACAAGGACAGACGGTGAGCCTCCTGATCCCTGCCTTGCCCACCTCTTTTTAGAAACAATAGTTCATTACATTTATTTATGGGGGGTGCTAAAATGAGAGAAAGAGGACATGATAACCCCCTTTCTGAGCCTTAGTTCTCCACATTAAGTTTTCATTTCCCTCAAATTAGGACATTTTCCTTCACCTGCAGTGAGTTTCTTTCCCCCATATACCACAGAGGGACGAGAGTGTTGGGGGACCACCCTGATCCCAGTAAACCAACAGTTGTCTCTGTAACCGTGTACCAAGGCAAGGTCCCTATAAATGGTTGCTTCCCTACTCATGCACCAAGGCTGGTTGGTGGTCCAATTACAGATTCCGTGTTTGTAGACAGAAAAAAACAACCCAACCCTTACTACAGAAGGGACACACAGACACTTTACGACCAACAGAAGGCCTGGCATAGTGGCCCACACCTTTAATCTCAGAGGCAGGTGGATCTCTGTGAGTTCCAGGCCAGCCTGCTCTACATGGTGAGATCCAGGACAGCCAGGTCTACATAGAGAGACCCCATCTCAAAAACAAAAGACAAATGGAAGAGTAGGGAGAGTTATGGAGATGGGGACAACTGAACCCTAGAGAGACCCCCAGGCTTCCTTAGAGTCAGCGGTACCCAGCTCTGGGCCCCTCTCTGTCTAGAGAAGATTTTTTTGTTTTTGTTTTTTGTTTTTGTCTAGAGAGTTATAACACTTGCCAATAAGCTTTCCTTTTGTTTTGAGCCCTTTTCCAGTATTGTCAGTATTTAACTGATAGAACCCACTAGTATCAGAGGTCAAAGAGCAACTTCTGGGTATCAGTCGCTCCTACTACTCTTAGGGACTGAACTCACGTCCTCAGACTTGGCCATAAAAGCCTTTATCTGCTGTGTCATCTTGCTGGCCCCTTGTCCACCTCTTGATCCCAGCCTCTGCTTTCACCCTCAGAGTAGCAGGAATAGTCAAAAGGACTCCAATAGCCAGCCTGCTGGTCTAGAACCATTCTCACTTGTCAGGCCTGAAAGCTGACACTCACCTCGTAGTGGTTCCGGAAGTGGCTGATCCGCACGTGCTCATCCATGTAGGTGTGGTCAAAGTTCTCACGAAGCCAGCTGACGTCACACCAGTAGAAATCCCACTCACCTTCACTGCAGTGGGGAAGACAAGGATTAGACCTGGGGACTGAGGCATTGCCAGGTTCTCCCAGCACACAACATGAGCAGGTGGAACAGGGGTGTGTGTGTGTGTGTGTGTGTGTGTGTGTGTGTGTGTGTGTGTGTGTGTGTATGTGTGTGTGTGTTGGCCATAGCACCTGGCTTCTCTGAGGCACCAGTAGATATAGCCACCCCGAGCCCAGAGTGCCTTCTAGTACTTCTCAACAGACTGGTCACACCTGCTCCATTTCTGAGGTGTAGGATGCTCCCTGCTTGAACATCCTACAGCCCGTCCATTGGGCAGTCACTGCTGCTTCTGCAGGCTGCATTGTTGGGTGGTAGAACAATAAATCTACCCTCTCTGCCCCTGCCCTGCTGCTTTACTTTGGATTTTATCGTCCCCCAAAGATTGGGGTGTTGGAAGCTTAACCATCAGCCTGTAGCAATACTGGGAGGTAGGGGAGCCCTTAAGGAATGTGGCCCAGAAGGATGCTGAGGAGCATACCCTTGAAGGGGATACTGGGCCAGTTCTAGCGCCTCTCTGGCTTCTGGCTTTGCCTCCTGGCTACCATGCTGTCCCACCACGTTGTTGGGCCTTGCTATAGGCCTAAGAGGAAAAGGACAACTGATCATGAGCCAAGACCTCCAGAGCCAAATAAACTTTTACTTTAAAAAAAAGTGGAATGGTCTCTCTATGTAACCTTGGCTGGCCTTGAACTCACAAAGATCCACTTGTCTCCACCTTCCTAGTGCTGGGATTAAAGGTGTGTGCCACTGCTCCTAGCATCCTTTCCCATTTTTAAGTTGATTGTCTTAGAAGATATTTTGCCAAAACAATGGAAACCTGACCAATGCTCTCGACCCCTGCTGTTTTTTCCCCCTATTGTGGCGAAGTAGGCTCAGTTTTGGAAAACACCTTCAGGGATCTGAACTCAAAACAGACAGCAGTGAGGAGGTGTGAAAAGGAACACAACTGTAAATCCCACTCCTGACACCAGCTGAAAAGGAACACACCGTACACAAGATATGGTTATCGATGGTATATTATAAATGAAAACAATGAGAACAACTCCAACGTGTAGCTGATAACCAAGAAGCCCAGTCCCACATGCCTCCAAGACCTGGCCTGAACCAGAGAGAGAGAGAGAGAGAGAGAGAGAGAGAGAGAGAGAGAGAGAGAGAGAGAGAGAGAGAACATCTCCCATTCGCTCTTTATCCTTCCCCTCTATGTACCAGAGACCATGTCCAAACAGGTGTGGTCAGCGATACAGATAGCCAGGGTCTCTCCCTACAGAGGTGGCTACCTGAAGTGATGAACTCAACCAGTCCTGACCCTGACCAAACCATGAAGAATGTCAGGGTCTTTTGTACTTCCCAAAGGCCTATACTGTCTCTTTCATCCCAGTGGCTGCAGGCTACAAGGACAGGGAGAAGCCATGAGAACCTTTTTTGGAAGATGGCACAATAAGTTCTCAATGTGTTCTCAAAATGACCAAAGCTGACTTCCACTCTGCTGTGGCCACTGCAAACCCTTACCTGCATGCAGGAGCTGCTGGCCAAATGTCCCAGAGGCTGAGGGCTGAAATTTCTATAGAGCAAGGGGAACAGTGGCTAACAAGTTCTTCTGGGTGTTACAGTTTCCAGCAGCTAAAGACTTAGATTATGTCTTAGTTCCTCTCAGCTGGGGGATGGGCATTTCTCCTGGATGCCAATCACAAATAGGAACTTGGCCTTCAGGGGTATGGGGTGGCATGGAATTCATCTGTCCTTTGCAAGAACACTGTATGGGAATGTCTCTGAGTGTGTGGGCCCCTTATTTCCAATGAGCTCCAAATGACTTTTAAAAAGTTTAATAGCCACATCCTGGCTTTTAATTGAATGTTAAGTGGGAAAATAATACGTACTGAGACAAACTGGTAATCACTGCCACGTGATACGAAAGGCTGGTGTTTAAGTAGGAACAAGTGAGCCTCTGGGGAAATCCCAAGCACATCACATGGGCTAGGATATAAATGGCCTGTGGGATGGAGCAGCACTGCCAGAAACTACCCATCTCCACAGGTCAAGAAAGCAGAAAGGGTCTACTTAGGGAGGAGGGCCAGCAGGATGAAGGAACAGGAGAAGCAATGTGGAGATGAGCAAGTACAATGACATACACGTGTGACAACACCATCATGAAACTTACTATTTGGGATACTAATTTAAAAAAAATTTTTTTCCGAGACAGGGTTTCTCTATGTAATAGCCCTGGCTGTCCTGAAACTCATTTTATAGACCGGGCTGGCCTTGAACTCACAGAGATCTGCCTGCCTCTGCCT